TCAATACATAGGAGACAAGTACATTTAGCATCAACATAGTACATCCCTTTCTCAGGAAAATTTTGTACTAAACTTTTTTATTCTTTTTGTACTGTCAAGCCCAATAATCCACAAGCATTGCATGAGAGCTAACCTCGGAGAAAGAAAAAAGGACTATGTACAATTTAGGAAATAGATTTAATTTTTAACTTGGTTCACGAAATACTACCAATTGGCTGCACACTAGGAACAGGAAAACTAACCTGCAACGTTCAAGGTCATCAGTGGAAGCACCAAATGCAGGTCTTACTTCACCAAGGGCATGCAAAAAATCATCCATAGTGACTTTTATACTCTCCTCATCCACTGGTTTAGTAAGATCATCCATGCTTAGCTGCCTGTTCAATGCAAAGGATACAGCACTTTTGACTACACCTTCAAGCTCAGCACCACTATAATTTTTTGTCCTTGCGGCTGCACGCAAAGGAAAATGGGGGAAAACTCTAAGAATTCCATATAGCCACTGTAGGTTAGTAGACTAAACAAAGTACCAGAAGTGACTCACAGAAATAACACAGAAACACCTTCAATTCAACAATATATCTTTGAAAGAAAAGTCAAGTTGAATCAGGGATAGAAGTATATAACATGATTTTAGTACTATCATCATCTATTTTAAAAGAACCAGATATCAAAAGCCATCATAACATGCTTGCTGTGGTGACCACATACCAAGTTCTTGCAAGTTCACATCTGGGGAAAGAAAGGAATTCTCTTTCATCTGGTTTGTATGAATCTGGAGAATTTGCAGTCGACCATTTTCATCAGGAAGGCTTATCTCCACTTGGACTTCTAGTCGTCCTGGCCTATATCAATACAGAACTTAATAATGCACCATAAAACATTACTTAATCTCAAAGAAATAGACACCAAAAACATTTGTATAATCTTCAGCAACAAAGAAGACAAACATGACACAAGAGACCATGGTTACCTCATAAGCGCTTCATCAAGTAGATCTTTTCTATTTGTCATTCCAATGAGCAAAACATTATTCAGAGATTCCACCCCATCTATCTAAAGTGCAAGAAACAATCAACCAGATTGAATCAATAACAGCTAACAGCATTCTACTGTTGTCATATAGCCACTCTAACCTCTGCAAACACAACTAGAAAGTATTGTGCATACCTTTGTGAGAAGCTGGTTAACAATGCTGTCATGTACACCAGTTCCATCTCTAGTTGATCCTCTAGACTGCATAACAACAAAAGCTTCATATTAAGAAACTAAATATACAGAATCAACTGCAGATGAATATAGTGATAAGGTAGTCAATGGATCCACAAGCTTGGTGAACATTTGCTCACGTACAGAGTGCATTAGCACAAAATGACTTGTAACAATGCTGAGTATCAATCAAACAAGTAGACTGCAGACAACTTAAGGGTGTACCAATCAACTAAAGCAACAAGCTAAGGATAACCTATTTAGATTCAGTAGTCAAATGCTGATATTTACATCCATGCAACAAAATTAACATCTGGAACTTATTGCCCATGGCAATATCCCATGGGTGAAACGTGTATTGGTACACGACCCACTCCTACAAACTTCTAATTTTACAACCAGCAGCTCGTATAAAAGCCTCTGAAGCACTTTCTCAGAAAGAAAGAAAAAAAAAGAGAAGCCTCTGAACCAATATCAGAAAATCAAACGGGAAATGATCAATGCACGGGTAATAATCTCAAAAAATCAAAAAGAATTCAAGAGGTTCCCACCTTACAGATTGCATCAATCTCGTCAAAAATGATAACATGCAGTTCACTTTGGTCACCTGGAAATACAAAAACGACAGATTACAATAACAAGTTTAAACCCCAACATCTTCATTTCCATGATAGCTCCCTTACCTTTGGTTCTTTGGTCCTGCTCAGCATCAGCAAACAAATCCCTCACATTTTTTTCTGTTTCACCGACGAACTTGCTTAATACTTCTGGTCCATTGACAATCTACAACAAAGAAAAACAAGAAGCAGATAGACAATCAAGATAGCCAAACAAGTAAAACATTGAATATTTCTTACTTCCAGAGCAACAACGATAACAAGGAGAAAATAAATGAGTAGAGCTTGCATGAACCTACCTTTGGTTCCTTGCCATTTAGCATTTTTCCAATCTGGCGAGCCATTAGAGTCTTCCCTGTACCAGGAGGTCCATAGAGCAGCATTCCCTTGACATGCTTGATACCAAGCCTGAAAATCAATTTCATCGCAAAGCCAAGGACAAGTGAGGAATTAATCGTACTACATCTTGTCTTCAGGAAACAAACAAAAATTCATGAAAAGAAAAGGAATTTTAGTTATTTAGCAAGAATTTTCCATACTTGCTGGTGACATGTGGAGGGAAAACCCTGGAAGCAAAAGCTCTTCGAAATATATCAGCAAACTCTGCACTCAGACCACCTATACCCAATGATTGAAGATTGAATTCTTTCTGTCTAAAGATGCTGCTGCTAGCAGCTTCACGCTGGTTGACAATCTGCATTGAAGTCAGTTGCAGCAAGAAACAAATGAAAAGGACTCCAATAAACATGAAGGAAGCCATTATGTATTGGCAACTTTTTGCCTCCAGTATATTACTTAAAGACAGGAAAAAGTAACCTTTATTCCACTAGAGTTTGCAGCTTCAAATATAATGTATGTGTCAGCTGAAATCATCCCTCTTTCTATATTAGACTTTTCTTGCCCCTCCACAGTAGCTTGATTCACAGTGAATATATAACCATTGCCATGATACTCAAATGTCACCTTTTGCCCAGTTGACATAATCTGCATAATGAAGTTAACAATTCATAAATAAGTTACTTTCACCAGAACTATAGACTTGGAACATCTGCTGCAGCTTAATTGGTAAGCCGTAAGCCTAGGAGCTAGAGGTCCACTTTACATCATTCTCTAATAGCATTTTAAAGGCAACACCATACTGGAGCACCAATACTCAAACAGCCTAGTGATTCCCAGCTATTTACGTAGACACCTCTAGATCCTCTGAACCGTGCCCTAGTCCACTAAAAAAGACAAAGTATCCTAGAATTTAGCAAGATTATTTCGAGACCACCACTAGACCACCCTAAGACTCCATTGTTTTTATTAAGATTAAGATGTCTCAATCGGCATACACATTTGATTATTAAGTTATTGTACATGGATCAGAACACTGGATAATTAAGTTGCTTATTTTCTCACATCTGAATGTAGATAATATATATATATATATATATAATTAAAAATTAATGTATATGGAATTCCAATAAATTAATAATAAATACTTATCCACTAAATACTAGAGAAATATTAATTTACATGGTGTTGTACAAATTGTTTAGAGACAAAACACTGGAGTCTAAATGTTTGGAGACAGACTCTGGAGTCTAAAGGTTTCAAGTTGAGCAGGACCAAGACATAATACTTGGAGTGCAAGTTCAATGACGTGACGGGGGAAATGGACTGTGACGTGAGGCTTGTTCACAAGTCATCCCCAAGAAAGGGAGTTTTAATATCTTAAAGGCAAGTTTTATATAGCGGTGGTTAGACCAATCATGTTGTATGGGGCAGAGTGTTGGCCAGTCAAGAATTCTCATATCCACAAGATGAAAGTAGCAGAAATGAGGATGTTGAGGTGTATGTGTGGGCATACTATGTTGGATAAGATTAGGAAAGAAGATATTCGGGCAAATGTGGGGGTGGCGCTCATGGATGATAAAATGCGGGAAGTGAGGCTTAATTGGTTCGGGCACGTACAGAGGAGAAGCCTTGACTCCCCGGTTAGGAGATGCGAGGTATGAGAAGAGCTAGAGGACAGCATAAGAAATATTGGGGAGAGGTTATCAGGCAGGACATGGCGCGACTCCATCTCACCGAGGACATGACCTTAAATAGGAAGGTTTGGAGGACGAGTATTAAAGTCGTAGGTTAGTAGGTAGTTGAGCGTTTTCTCAGAGGCGGATCCAAGATTTGGAGATTACGGTGCCAAGCTAATCAATTTGATCAACTTGAGCTTTGGTTCGAGTTATTCATCTTTTTATTTATATGGACATATTGATCAAACGAAAAAAATATGATAACTATAACTAATTGACGCAAAGCATAAAACTTCCAATAATATTACTACTGTAAAAAATATACATCATCCATTTAAAATTGTCCTCGACGAGTTTTCTTATTCTGAAAATGGTCAATAATTGCATCATTACTTATGTTTGGAAATACATCACATTCTATGTAACAAACTAAACAATCATTTACATTTTGATCACCCATGTTATTCCGCTCTTCATTCTTTATCTGCTTCATGGGCGAGAATGCTCTCTCCACCGTTACAAGAATACAAGTTACAATTGGCTACTAGAGGACAATAGAGATGCCGAGATGGACGGACTAAGCAGCGACGCTGGCAGCAGGGAAGTGAATATTAGTGGTGGCGCTAGCGAAGGGATGGGAGTTGGGCAATGGTCAAGGGTTTTTGACTTTTAGTTTGGAATTTTGATTGGGAATTGGAAGCGAGAATTTTGAGAGGAAAGGAAATATCTTTTGAAGTTTGAGTGGAAAAAAACAAATATAAGAGACAAAAAAAAGGTCAAAATTTACTACTCTAATAAAGAAAGATATAGTCAACAATAATTAAAGAAAAAAAATAAGGAGAACAGAATATATAATATACTAGTATAATATTTGATGATCCAAAACGTAAAGTGATGCAGCAAGCTAAAAAGGTTAAAAATGTGTTGTCTCGGCAGTTCGATCCCTCGCCTCCATGGAGGATTTGTCAGATGTTTGCCACTTGCACCTATTCATCTTTTGGTACCCCGGGTGGCACCCAATATATTTATATTATTTTGCATATATGCATACATATATAGTTAAGGTTTCGACCAAAGCTTGCGGGTGGTGTACCACCCCCCAGGCCTTAGTAGATCCCCCCTGGTTTTTCTTCCCCGTTGGGGGTTTTAGGCTAGTTGTTAGTATCTTGCTTTAGTTTGATAGTGGTACTTATTGTGTTTGTATTGTTTTTCTGCTCCGGTTGCCTAGTACCTTTCCATTGCTCTAATTGACGATACTGCATTTTCCTTTCTTTTTTTTTTATTCCTAGGTTGCTAGCACTGTCTTCCTGATGTATTGTTGTTGTTACTGTTCCATTGCCTCTTTTTCATCTCCTTGTACCGATGGTCTTTCGGAAACAGTCTCTCTACTCCCGGGGTAGGGGTAAGATCTGCGTACACACTACAGGGTTGTTGTTGTTGTTGTTGTTGTACAAACTGTTTCTTTCATGAACCGCACTCTAAAAACTAACGGCAAACTGGTGGTGGTGGTGGTCGGCCATGATGGTTGTAAGGTGGAAGCTAGTGGTCGTGGTTGGTCGAGGAGACCGTAGATGGTGGTTCTGTAGCGGTAGACGGCAGTGGTGGAGTTGTGGTAACCGAAGGTGATAGATGTATGATGGTAGTTGATGGTGACTGACAGCGGAGGTGGTTGGTAGTAGTGGTTTTGCAATGGAGGCTGGTGGAGAGGTTGTTGGTCATTTGGTCTTCATTTTGTTGATTCCACCCGACATCCTCAAGGCAATTCCATATTTATCTTTTGATTAATAAAAGCAGACATCAGACATGAAAATTGTAAGATGAATAAGTCCAGCCAATATAGTCATATATATATCAGTCATTTTCTCTCAAGCGTTCATTAATGTGAAGTGGACACTAAAACATGGATATGATTCAAAGACAAAAGTATTTAGTATAAAGTGGGGCATATTTGTAATAAATTCAATTGATTAGCGGAAAAAGAAAACAAATACACTACGTTTTGGTTGAAGTTTCATTATATAAGGATCAGGACGCCGTTCAGCCTTATCTTTTTTTCTTCTTTTTTTTTTTTTTTT